ACTAAGCTAAATCAACAAAACAAGCTAAGTGAAAATGCGCGAAGCGAGGGAAACTCATATCAGAACCATAAAAGTAATCAATTGCGAAGAAAAGTAAAAGAGACTGACCTGCTTCAATTTGCCAGTAGTTTCAATCATGCGACCTTTAATCTCCAGAAATGCCTGTTTTTTTAATCAAATGGTTTCAGATCAATAAAGAAATTTGTAATTTAACAAATATGAATCAATGATAATCTATGGCTGTTCTTACGGTTCTATTGGCTTCGTCAGACATTGTAGAAGATACTCCGGTGCCGATATGTTGATTCTTTTCAGCTTCAAAGCCCTATTATTCAGGAATTTTATTAAATAGCTCTTTTGGCGTTGGTTTAAGCATTAAGATGGCAATGGTATGATATTTTCGGCACCCGGTTCGGCTCGAAAAGGTCAGGTTTTACCTAATGTTCACGGGCTTGGGTTTGGGCTTGAACCTGATTTTAGAGCCCAACCTCGGGTATGGGCCAGACTTTGATATGTTTTCAGACCCAACCCGATAATTTTAGTATTAACTATATTTAATTATCATTATACTATATATTTAATTACAAGATTATCCTACGATATATATATACTCATCTTTCCCAAACCCTACATGGATGGATGGATTCACTTTGTGGAAATTTATTTATATATTTGGTGAGTATTCAAAAATAGATTAATATTTAAAAATCCCCAACCATAAGGATGGGCCGGGGACGGTCATGGGAGTGGGTAACAGGGACGAGGACGGGGGCGAGGAATGGGGTTCTAGGCCCCAACCCAGCTTGCGCCCATCCCTATCACCGTTGGAAGTTGGCCAGAATATGATATAATGGCACACTACCAATAGGATCTGGCCGATAGTGCACCGATCTACGGCCAAAAACGGCCAGATCTTTGGCTGTAACCAATCGTCAACGACGACCATATCTTTTACCGTCGTTCACAACCAAATACGGCCAGATCTGACTGTCAATGGCTAGATCTAACCATAGATTTGACATTTTTTATTAAATCCACGTGGATTTGATCGGAAAATGTTATATCAGTGCACGATTAACCAGATCTAACCGGTCGTGTATTGATACGATGATTTCGATTACCCTCCAATGGTGGTGGTCAACTGTCGATATTTAATAGATAGATTGAGATATTTTTATTAATTTTTAATATTTTATTACAAAAGAGTTTAATAAATAAACAAACCTAAATAGATATTTTTGTTAATTTGTAAAGGTAGTCAACATCAATTCTATTTTTTAAAATATTATTATAAAAGTGTCGTAATAATAATAATAATAATGAACCAGATGGAGATTAGAAGCTAAAACTGGACAGTTTTAATATCATAATGACCCTTTTTAGCCCTCTTGTGTTACTCAGCCGGAAAATGTGTAATGTCTTAATAAGGGTAGGTAGGCAGTTGTGAACTATATTAACTATTAGAATTTTTCATGATAATTGATATCATTGGCGCCATGCACACCGACATGCGGAAAATTTGACCCCAATAATAAAGGATAAGAAAAGAAAATGGCAAGAATGTAATAAGTGTAAATAACCAAGGGCAATAAAGTAAAAACGAGGTCAATTACCATGTATGGAGAGTACTTGATCTGGCGTTTTTGGCGGCTATTCCTCTAAACCAATCGATTGCACTTATCCTTCTCTCTCTAAAACCTCTAAACTTCCCCTCTCTCTCTCTCTCTCTTTTTATTTTAAATAAATAATATATAAAAAAAATCATTAGTGTACATTTTGGTTGGAGTGGTGTCTTTGTTCTTTTGTTGCTCGGGAGTTTTGATTTCTAGAATTCCCGGCGATCCGTTTGAGATTGGGGACGCATCCAGATCGGATCGAGGCCCAAACTTCGAATGGAAGAAGAGTGTTTTAAGATGAAAAATGGTGTTTTTGATGTTTAGTTTGATAATGTGGAGATGAAATGTAAATCTAAAAGAGGTTTTATAGTGAGATTCATGGGGATTTGTTTTAGTATTGAACATCAAAATCAACATCAGCAGCAACAAGGACAACCACAATCTTCTATTGTTAGGGCCATTAATCAAGGTTTTTTTCTTTTATAATATTTTCTCATATTTATTTGCTTTTATTGTTCTTTAAGAATTTTATTGTTAAAATGCTCATTAATTGGACGGCAAGAAAATTATAATGTAGAGTAATTATTGCAGCCAAATTGTTATTAGGAATTGTGATAAATTTGGTATGAATGAGTTTGGTGTAACCATTAAATTATCGTTATATGTTGTGTTACTGAATAAATTATAACTAAAATGCTCATTGAGTCATTATTGCAGCCAAATTGTTCAAAACTTATAAATGATTAGGAATAGTAATGAATTTGGTATGTATGTGTTAGTTGTATCAATTGAATTATCATTATATTTTGTGTGATTGAATTAACTATAAGTAAGATGCAATGTCGAGTTTTGATTTACTGTGGAGTAGGAAAAGGGTGTGTTTCTAAACGAACTGACGCGGAAAGGCAAGAATCAATGGGGATGAGAAGTTATAGCAGCAGTTCGATGACTCCTAAGAATGTTAATGAACTGCGCCAAAATCCGGGATATAGTAATGTTGATATATTTACATATGAGGAGATGAGATTGGCCACCAAGTTCTTCAGGCCGGATTTTATTCTTGGAGAGGGTGGTTTTGGAATTGTGCATAAAGGAGTTATAGACGAGAGTGTCAGGCCAGGTTACCCGACAACACAGGTTGCAATTAAAGAGCTTAATCGCGAAGGTTTCCAAGGCGACAGAGAATGGCTGGTATTTGTCTTATTATTTCTTTTAATTATGTTCTCTTTTTCCCTATTAAACAGGCTTGTTATTTGTAGACATGGAAAAGTCTTTTCTTTCTGCCCCTTGGCTAATAGAAGCTATGCTCTTAACAAAATAATTAGTAGAAAAAGGAGGCTAATGATGAATATGAAATGTCCCTACTGTGTGATATGCCAGAAAAAGAGTATGTGTAATGTCTTAGAGCTCAATCCTTAGAGTACTTAGTTTGTTTCCAAATTCTGTTTAGGCTAAAACTTTTACCTAACCAGAAAAAAATTTTAATTTTTTTTCTCTAATGTTAGTTTTAAACCATAGAAGTAGAAGAGAGCATTGCTTCGTTAATCAAGAGTTTAGAATTCCAAATACTGTGTCTGAGATATCATATCCAATAGGTTTCTTGTGGTTTGGTAGTTGACTCCTATTGCAAACCGAGCATCTACAAGGAATTTCTGCGTGATTGAAGTAAAAACATTTCCCATCTCACTGGCCATAAGTTGATCATTTTTATTACATTTTAGGAGATTCTTCTGTCAAAGGATATTGTTAATATCTATATTGTGTTTTGACTACCCCCATCTGCAGTAATTTAAAATGAGACTGAATAGCATTTAATTATTTTTGGACAGTTAATTAGGTTTAAATTGTTTCTTTAATCTAAACAATCAAAACTATGCGTTTGCACAGATATGCGTGCACTAACATTATTTATATACATATTAATTTGTATCAATACGCACACTGCATTTTTGCATATGTGTGAAATAGTGACCAAAGACCAAATTACAAGATATAGTGGATAAGTGAGGGCTGAACAATAATCTCACAAAGTGAGAGTCTATGTTTGAAATGAAAAAAAAGACTATTTTATTTTACGGTACTGAGATGAATGAAGAATGTTTGATTTAATGTAGCTAGTATGGATGGACTGATACGGATGTAACTGGTATGGTGGACTTTCTTTCTTTCTGTTTATTTGATCAAAACTAATCTCATGGGAACATCTAGTATCATCCAAGAAAGAGAAAATGAAAAATTATATCATGCCAATAGTTTTTGAAAGGTTTAATAGTAATGGTGTTATGTTTAATGCCATAGACTAGAAATAAAACTGATTATTTGCATTGATTTTTCATTTGGGAAAAAAATTAATTGCTTATCAGTATATCATTGTTTGTTTTCAGGCGGAAGTCAACTATTTAGGACAGCTTAGCCACCCAAATCTTGTGAAGCTCATTGGGTACTGCTGTGAGGATGAGCACAGGATATTAGTCTATGAATATATGGCGAGTGGTAGCCTGGAAAAACATCTTCTTCGCAGTAAGTGGCTGGTTTTTATTTTGGTTCTATGGAACTTTAAGGAATTAAGCTTTCTTTGAGGCTGAGGAATAATTGTTTTCTTGGCATTCATTCTATAAGCGTTAGAAGTTTTATGTATAGTTTGATACATTATCTGAAATGAGGCACTAGCCTGGTCTACTATGATTCTGTTTTATGAATTATAGCCATCATGTTCCATGTATTTTTTTTGAACTTATTTTGGCTCAACAAGTAATTTTTGTTATGGCTGATTGGGACTTCGGGGAAAGAAGAAATCTTGCATTAACATTTTTAACATTTTATCCTAAGATTTAAAGGATTTGAACGCTTTTAATTTTGTTAAACATAATTGCATTCTAACAAAGGAAGGAATAAGATTTCAGTATTGATTTATTATTAATATTATTATTTTTCTGATAAGAAACATAAAACCACATATCATAATCGAAATGAAAGACACAAGTAAAAGATCCAGAAGTTTACTACCAACAAAAAAAAAAAAAAAAAGAGAGAGAGAGAGAGAGAGAGAGAACAGAGCAATACAGGAAAAGAAACAAAGAACATAAGCTTAAACCAATAGTCTTCCAATCTCAGTGAATAAAGACAGAAGTTTTCTGAAATTAGGACTGATTTCAAAGACTGTTTCTGTGGGTTTCATTATTATTGGTTTCTGGTGGACAGTAGATGTTGAACTAAATTCCAAAATATTTTGAAGGAATTGTTTCTCTATGAAAAACTTGAAGAGGCACAGACACAATAGAAATATGATTTTGTTTCCTTTATTTGTTATTGGGCAGGAGAATGTTTATGGTATAGGGTAGAAATGTAAAAGCAAACGGACCATGTCATGCAAAAGTATTGGTAAGTGTGTGATAGACTGATAAGTTGAAATAATTAGAAATTTATGTTAAGCCTGTCTTACTTATTGAGTCTATGATCAAAGTGCGATAGTTTTAACTGTAAAATTACTCAGTGATGCCAGAGAACCTCCAAATTGTTAAGTTATGAATTCCCCTTTACATTGTCTGTACTAAATTGAAACTTTGAGTGGCTTTTGAGTGGATGGCTGCTTTATGCTTATGGTAATTAAAATATCAAAATACATCTATTTCCTGCATAGGTGTGGAGAAAACGAATTTATATTGAAAGAAGGTGTGCTTGTTTCTAATTTATAAGTAGAACAAATTCTATTGTTCCCTAGTGATTTGATTTTCCTTTGGCTTGCAGGGGTTGGTTGCACTTTGACTTGGTCAAAAAGAATGAAGATTGCTTTACATGCAGCAAAAGGACTTGCTTTTCTTCATGGTGCAGAGAGATCTATCATATATCGCGATTTCAAGACATCAAACATCTTGCTGGATTTGGTTAGTTTTCATTTCTTTGTTGTTTATTGTTGCTTTTTAACAATAAGTACAGTATATTATAAGGCCATTCATAAATTGGGAAAATGAAAGTAGCATTCTGCGGTGGTTCATCTCTTTTCTATTGGATCATAAACAAAAAATCATTACTGTCATCAGCTGTAATAAGAGTTCTGAGATGCAAAGGTAAAGTGAAATGATGTCAGATGAAAGAACCAAGTATTGAAAAAACAAATGCTGGTTTCAGTTGGCCAGAAAATGATATTTTTTAAAACCATCAGAAAAGGAAATTTATGAGTCCTTTTCTTGACTTGTTCTCCCAGCATCATATTGTTCTGCTTATGTGTGAGTACTGTCCTGCGTTTGTCTCCTGTGTGAGTGAAGTATAGCTTATGGGGCTCCTAGTGGCAAAGCCAACCATGGGCTGGCTGAGAACGTATTTCTTCTAGTGATAAATTCTTAACTCAGAATTTTGTTATCTTTAATCCACTTGAAGACAGTATAAAAGCTTTACATTTGATGAATTTGATAGAACAGTCTTTTGGCAAAAACAATCAGGGCCCTTTAGTTATGTCTCTTGACCTTTCTCTTTGTCATGTGTGATTCTCTTTAATTGAGGAAGGCCTGCCAGTTTATGCTGCTGAAAAATTGAATGTGATCTGCAGGATTTCAATGCAAAGCTTTCCGACTTTGGCCTTGCAAAGGATGGGCCTATGGGAGACCAGACCCATGTGTCAACACGAGTGATGGGCACATATGGTTATGCTGCTCCTGAGTACGTGATGACTGGTGAGTTATTTATTATCAAATCACATTGTCTTTTTTTCTGTCTTTTTTTTTTTTTTTTTTAAATTTATTTATTTATTTCTCAAATATAGATTATTGCCCAGCAGAAAACTAAAATAGGGAACTTATGAACAATTACTAATGTCAATCCTTTCTATAATGATTATAGTTTTAAGTCCAAGAACATAAGATTTAATTTTAGAATTTCTAAAAAATTATTCTCATATAATAAACAGGTTGGTTATTAAGTGTGTGGACAAAACTACCGACGAATTAACTGTTTCATTCTACATTTTGTAGTTTGAGAGGGTTCAACCCTAAGACAAACTACATATTAGACGAGTTACGCAAGTTGACACAATCATGACATTACCCGTTTAAGGTCAACCCTAATTGGCTAACTTATGGTGTTAAAAGCTTATGTCAAAAGTTGCAAACACAGGAAGGGACAAACTAGCTGATTTTGGGAATGAAGTAGCTCAGCACCCTGGTTAGGAGAAAACAATGTCTAGTTACCTGCCTTCAGAAAATAGGAGAAAAAGAATCTTGTCTCCGTCTTTGTGGAGAAAAAAGAACATTTAAAGCCTCAGATCTGTAGGTTTTTATGTTGAATATTTCCAAATTGAAACAAACCCTTACGTATTTAGAACTATTTCTTAGTTTGACAGATCACTGATATTGTTAGAAATAATAGCAAGTCATGAACTAAATTGATGTTTGTTCAACTTATTAGGACACTTAACGGCTCGAAGTGATGTTTATGGTTTTGGGGTTGTGCTACTTGAGATGCTCCTTGGAAGGAGAGCAGTGGACAAGAGCAGACCTAGTCGAGAACACAATCTTGTTGAGTGGGCTCGCCCACTTTTGAACCATAATAAGAAGCTTTTAAGGATTTTAGACCCTAGAATGGAAGGACAGTACTCAGTTAGAACTGCAATGAAAGTGGCCAATTTGGCATACCAATGCCTCAGTCAAAACCCAAAAGGGAGGCCAGTTATGAGCCAGGTAGTCGAATTACTCGAGAGTGTTCAAGCACAGGAGGGAAATGATGAAGAAGCAATGCTTCAAAAGGGTGGCAGTGTAACCCTGTATGAAGTTCCAAAACGTTCTACTCAAAGTTCTAATGTGAAGCTCAGTGAGACTGGAATTGATAGTAATAGAGAGACACGGAGAAGGGACAAACCTGCTAATGGAAGGAGTAAGAGTGAGCCTCCAAATGATGATGATCTTTATGTCCCTTACGACTCTGCTGCCACGGTCAAAACAACCGATGAGAAATCAGCTTTGGCAAGAAGTTGATTTTGTACCATAGTACGGATTGAAGTTGAAGTTGCAACTGTAAAAGATGTTTCAACAGGTCTGTGCTTTGGTGTTTTGAAAAATCTACTTACTGTTTGTCTGTACCAAGTATAGTTTGTAAAAGAGGTATTAAGAGGTTAAGCTTTTGAGTTTTGCGTTAGTGGGATTTCTGATGTTTATTGAAATTGTCCAGCTGTGTTATCATATCAGTTAGTACGCCCCACCCTTTTGTATTATTTTTGAGGTAAGCATTCTGCTATATTGTAGCTTTTGTTGTACTGGTAATATTTTTACCACAACCAAAATAGAAATGAACTTGAAGCTGGAGCTGGGTACTGGACTACTGGTACTAGGTTTAAAGATTGTTGGTCCCTATTTTAAAATCTTCATAGCAAATAACTTTTTACAATATATACATAACATATATGATTCTGCAGTGTCATGAAGGATAAAAATTTTTTTTTTAATTTGTTTGTTTTATTTTATGAAGTTTATTATTTTTACGATTTGAAAGAGCTTTTATGAAGTTTCGTCTCATGACTCATGAATAAAGCTTTCAAGGTGTGTCAACATTGTATTGAACTAAATTTTTCGTATTGGATTAGAGTGAATTAAATTTATACTTGTTTAAATATTTAAATAAATCTTTTAAGATTAAACTGGTTGGGCCGACAACACACCAAAACACCATAAATTCTAAATTGATAATGCAGACTCAGTAAGTTCTTTAAAATACTTTCATTCGCGCAAACTAAAGACTTTTAGTTTAAGATTTGAAGACAGACAAGTGGTAGATAATGTATTTATGAAACCTCAGGTAATCAGTGTATTATTATTTTATTTTTCCTTTTTCTAACTGATTTACCCTCATAAACGTTCAAGAGCTACTTAGCGTTGCACAGAAACATGATCAGCAAAACAACCAGCAAGTCAAACATGGAAACAAATCCAAGTTTAACATCATCAATCTCCTTCTAAATAAACTTCACAACAACAAAAACTTGCCTTGCTACTCAAGGACCCAACATTTCTGTAACACAAAATAAAGGGGATGAAGTAAGCAGGTCGAAGTTCCTATGACAATGTAGTTAAGTGGAACCACGCTTCCATTCGGCTAAACATCAGCAGCATTTCCCTGCAAAATAAAATGCCTGCATTACTGCTATATTGTTTCAATACCACAGAATAGAACACCAAATGAAAACCCGGACAAATTCCAGTTTTAGAGGGAAATGATGCCTTCCAAACTAGAGGCAGGATTGGTTGTAAATGAGAACCCAGAAAAATCCAACTACAAAACCACTCCAAACAATTTTAAATATATCAAATTCAATATAGTTGATTAAATTATTTAACTTAAAGAACCAAAGAAAGAAACCAGTCCAAACTCTTTGTTAAAATATATGTATATATATATAACTAACAGTCTCAAGTTAGATTCAGCAATTTTTCACATTGAAACCATCAATTTGTTTTTTTTTTTTTTTTATGCTCAGATACATCTTCCTTCAAAAATGGAAACTTTATCATTGGAAGTTACTGCCCTCTTAACTCAATGTGTTTTGATTTGCTGAAAATTCACCCAAAAAGAAGTTTCCTTACCCCATACTTGGCACAATTTCATTGCCAGTTGAGTGATAGATCTTCTCTCTGCAGAGTTAGAAAATTCCATTTTTAGAGTCTCCTGAATTGCAGTTAAAAATTCTCGCCTTGCTTTTGTAGAGAGAACAAGGTGATTTGGTCCATGAATTGTGCTTAAGTCCACCACCTAAAAACAGAGGAGAGGCAAAAATAGCAATCAGAGATTTAGAGGATGATCAATGGGAACACAATGTAACTTCTTGGTATGGTATTGTCACATATAACACTACTAATTATTATATCACATTGTTTTTCTCAAATCATTTCAGCTATAAGCACGTGGTGCATATATTTGGATGCAAATATTATTATATATATATATATATATATAACATGCCGGGAAAATTCAATATTATGGGTAACAAAACATCTTTTCTTGTGATACAATATTAAATATATAATACTATTATAAAAAATATCAAAATAGTGAACCAAACGGAGCCATAAGGTTGTATTATATATCTATTAACATATTAATAGAGGATGACGAAGGTGATGGTGTGTGTACCCCAACCTTTTTAACTTCTTCTATTCGTCATTTCTTATTCTAAGACTAGTATGTTGACTGTTGTTAAGTAGCAAAAAGAATGAGGCACTTGAGATGAAGCTCAAGGTTTAGCAAGTGTGCAGGGTTTCAATTTTTCATGAACCTTTTCAGATTTTAGACATTCCCTAAGTTACTATCACCCCTAGTCTGCCTCCCTTTGGCTGAGTTTTTCAATCTTGATTGTCACTTTTTATTAAATCTTTTGTGGGGATTTGTCATCCAAGGAAAGTAACTAATAAACTTCTTTATACGGCTGATTCACCTATTTTATTAAGGACTTTTACCAACATGTGTGATGTTTATTTCCTTTAGAGAACTAACATATTACCCACCTCCCACAAGTAACACAGAAAAGACACAACATTTTGTGATAATGAAAGTGTAATCAAAATGGTAAAAAAACTTGCCTGCTGCAACCATGGGATGATAGAGTTAATGAACCTTTGTTCCAGGAAGTAGGATGCCAAAGTACTAAGAAGATCATTGATGGTCTTGTGCGACAAACTTTCGAGAACAGGACCAGTTCTATCGAGAAGCTCAATTAAAATGAGTTCATCACCAGCACAGAGAGCTTCCATATATGCTGAGTCCAGATCCCCTTGACATAGATATCCTTTCACACACTGCCACAAGCTATTCTTGCTTTCTAAATTATTTATTCTGGCATTAGCACTTGAAACTGAAGCAAAGACAGAATTTGTTTTTCTAATTTGACCCACAGCCTGTGTTCCCAGCCTGGAGCTTCTGTGGATGTCCTTCCCTGTCAGGTTTCTACTATCATTTACTGTAGGGTTAGTCCATATCTCTGAACCTTCTTTGGCAGAATTAGTTGATCTGCTCCTACAAAGTCCTTTTTCCTCCCAAATCTCAGAATTCTTCACAGCAATCAATGAGTGTTTATTACGAATATCTAAAGATGGCCTAGGAGAGCATGTAGAGAGTCTGGGAGAAGGAACACTTTGGTTATGCTTGATAAATTTAGAGCTTGCTAAGTCTGAATGCCTCCTACCATGTACAAGATCCTGAGCTATTTTGTCTACCACATGCTCTAAACCTAACACCTTGGACTGCAGCATCGATAAACTATCCATTATGCCAGTTGAGAACACCTGTGAATTAGTTTTGAAAAATACTGAAACCAGATTAGATGACTGCTAGATCTGAAGACACAGTACAAAGCGATACTACAGAATTTAAACAATTATGAAGTCAGGGCTTTGTCTGGATTTGGGCAGTTAATTAGAAACTAAGAAGCCAGCACATGAAAGTCACTTTGGTGATACATTTCACAGGACTTTTCAACTGATGGTAAAGCTCTGGACCAGTCAAGATTTAAAAAAAAAGCATGAAATTAGTACCTGTAGTATATCCATTAAGTTTGATTGTTTGTTTTCAATCTCCAAAAGCTGTTTCCGAATGCATGCCATTTCATTTTCCATCTGCGAACAACACCCACCTACAGTTTGGGAACAAGATTCTGTGACTGTAGAGTCGAGACTTCTACAATCTCGCATCTTTGCAGAATGTATACGTTCCTCACTACCAATGTCTTCAGGTCTAAAACATTGGTTTCTTACCATGGGCTTCAGCAAACCACCCTCTTCAAGACATTCATGAGAGACTGTCACAAACTTGGTCTCAAAGTTCTCAGTAACAAGGTTTGAGACAGAAGAAGAACACTCTTGTTTATCATCCATTGGCATGTATTCATTTTCAATATCTTGCATACTTGTAACATCAGTGCTAATCCTTTCTACGGTCTTTGTAACGCAACTACCCTCAGATTCTTCATTGTGAATATCTGCTAAAGGGACATTATGGGTTTTTGGAACAGCAATTTCAATATGCCAATTATCTGCTTTAGAATGTTGAGAGTTTTCCATATAACTTTGGCATACTTTCCTTGCAGACAGAGGAATCCTTCTATTGGCCAAGTCTGTGACAACTTTCTTGCGTGACGAATCCTTCATTCCAAAGTCACTGGGACTTGTAAGACCACTGAAGTTACCTCCACCGAAATTTTCTGGCAAAAAATTGTATAATGAGTAGACAGAGACAATATATAAAGAGAGATGAAACATGCAATCAAGAGAAAAATGGCATATGATATTATAATTCATAGAACACCAAAAAGTGTCACATATAAGAGTACTACAGAATAAAGCCTTCTCTAGTTCATTTTAAAGATAAATGGGAAGTTTATAAAGCACATGTTGTAACGGGCAAAAGCTGACTGCTTCAATCTACCACATGCAGGCATCATTTATATCACAGTCAAAGCAGGGATTAGATACCAGTCAAGGACCCCGCAAATCCAATTAATGTAGCTCCAAGAAAAGCATAGAGAACCATGAATTTTAGAATAAAGGGGGATAGGATTGTATCATCAAAAAAGGCTCTGTACACATTAAATTTAATGCGAAACATGAAGCAGCCTAGGTAAGGGGATTTATGATCGGAAAAGACCCTGAATTCTGGAAAGAGTGAAATTGGTTCTGTTATTGGAAAAAAACTGTATTCCATTAGTTATAAGTCGAATTTAATATGTAATAACTACTCTTAGTGCAAGTCTTAGATTGCATGTCACAAGTTAGGCATATAGTCTAATAAATTGTACTTCTTTAAAACACTTCTAGCATCCATATTGTGATATTGTAGACTGGCCCCATAAATGGATATATAAAAGTTTCATAATGAATAGAACATTACTTGAACATATGATGTTTATCAAAAAACTTCACATTATTGAGGATAAGGACCGAAAATTCATAATTTGAGTTTAGGGGCACAGATCATGGAAGTTCATAGTTGATTAAAGGAATTTGATTGTCAAGGGATGCACTTGTAATTTTTCTATCAAATAAGCACTCTAAACCGTGTGAAACACTCAAGCAAAGGACTTCATGTCTAATAAACAGACCAAAGAGTAAATTCTTCAAGAGAGGAAAATATCCAAATCAATAGAAATCATCATAGGCACCATCATCATTTATCCTTGTGTTATACAAAAACATGAAGTTAACTGAACAAGTTGTTTTCAAGTAACCACAAAATAATGCATGAAACTGTTTTTAAAACATTTCATATGATTGGCCTATTTGGAAACTTAAGGAAATGTGATGATTATTTCTATTAAAATTGAAGGTGAAATGATTGCTCTGATGAAGCCTGCAATTGGATTGTTCATATTGTTGTTAAGAGTTTCATAACTTTATCTGGACACTTAAATTCACCTAGCATTAAACAAAAAGGTATATACTGCTGATCATCCATATGATTTTGTGTCCAAATTTACAAGAATAAGGCATATTTGTCATCCATGCAGATAGACTAATAATGCAGTACAAAAAAGGGTTATCCATGTACTTTTAGTTCACAATGATCAAGTGGGAATCAAAACTAGATGCATATGATGGACACACAAGAACGATCAAGCAGTTTAACTTGGTTTTCCTGTAATGCCCATACTCAACTTGTTTAAATCAAATTATCCTTGGTAATATGAAGTCCACCTAACAATAGAGATGCAAGCCAGAATGTCCAAAGCATGTTAGTGGATTGATGTCAAACTATTAGCAAAGAAGGAAACTATTTGGATGATGCATTAAACTCAATGGTAAGACTAATGTATTAACCATGAAAACCAAAATTAATATAAAACACAAAATAAAACTAATATGAACAGAACTTTTTGACACATTAGAGTAGCAGGCATCAGCCACCAAACCTTTTATAGAAGATCCAGCTTCAGAAGGTTCAGGAGTATCAGGCCCTGGAAGACCTCTCCAGTACTGTAGGGCATGCAGCACTGTCTCCCTAACTGGTTTCACCTATAAAAACACAGAGAAGCCACTATAAGATCCAGTTCAGTCATTCATAAGAAAGTGAACTTCTCCAAATATTGGTCTATAAGAAAAATCAAACCTTGTCAAAACGAGATGATTCAAGCGAAGAAATGCACGAAGCCTTGAAACTTCCCAAGAACGATCCACCACTTGAAGCAATTTCGGCTAATGCTACAGAAGCAGCTTTGCGTGTTGTCCAATCACTATTTTTGAGAGCATCTTGGATACTAGTCATTGCTGCTGATAGAACACTTTTAGTAGCAGCACCCCCTGCCTAAAGTTCAAATTTGTGCAATTGTTATATAACAATTATATGCAGCAAAAAACATAGTAAAGAATCATCACTTTCCTAATAGTAAAAAAAGCAATAAAAACTTAATTAAAAATAGAAGCAGTTGATGTGTAGCAATAAAATTGAATTTAAAGGACTGTCATATTTAAAAAAATGACCACACATTTTTCTCATGTTTCATATTATTCCGCATATCCAAAGCAGTGTTGGTGCAGATTCCAGTTCAACTTTTGTGTAACAATTGGTATACTATATTGCCATTCTCTTAAAATTAGATAGTCTATTAGTAAGGGAATAAATTAAGAATGAGAATATTCTAAATGAAGATTGAAATTTGCAATTAAGTGGGTGATGAAATTATCTAGCCCCACTGGACGATTAAACTTGGCATTAACAATTACTTGATCAGACTAGATATATAAATACATATATTTAAACAATCCAAAACAATGAAGTAAAAATAATATCCCTAGTAATCCCGGAACAAAGGGATATTGGCACTATTTAATCATAGAGCAAACTTATAAAAAATAGAAAATCTCAACCCAGTAGATATAAATGATAACTGATCTGGGTAGGTCAGAGAATCTTAAACCAAACAGCCATAGATTCAACCCAAGTAATCATTAAAAGATGTAATCTTTAGAAAGCCACATGGAATGATGCCAGGAATATGAGATGGAAATTATCATAGTCAAATGATGTTCAAGAAAGATATGAAAACACAAGGAAAGTCGTTTTTATTATGATCATTGTAACCACAAGATAACCCATATTCATGAAAACCATCCCTGGTTTTGTTTATCAAAAGTATTATTGATTGCATAGTAACATAAAATAAACAGAGAACAAACAAGTTAATATCAATCCTCACATTTTCAGCTGTAGATGCATGATAATTTCACAAAATACAGCAACACATGTTTCAGCAAGACCAAAAAAAAAAAAAAAAAAAAAGGCATCAATTAATGAAGTTCAAGGCAACCAGACTTGCATGCTACAGTTAAAAACTTACCAGAATAATACTTCTGTTCAACTCAATTACAGCTGGTTTTGCCATAAAGTGAGGATTCTTAAGCAACTTTATGGTTCGAGTCAGCATTCGCTGCAAAATTGAAACTGGAGCATCGTGGATATTGTCAATAACCCTTGCCAAGCACAATGCTGCACCAAACTGCATAGACTTATTTTGTTCACCCAAAGCTTCAAAAAGCGGCCTCACTAATGCAACAAAAACCCCATCACCGTCATCACCACGATTACTCAGTTTTGAAGCCAAAACACCCATTGTTTCCACACAAGCATCCCTCACTATGGAATCTGAGTCCTTGAGTCGCTTAACTATGCTAGCAACCATCTTGCTCAGATGTGGTCCCATTAGAGCCTGGTGAAACCTTGCTAATGCGCCTATCAATCTAATGCATTCCTTCCGAACTAAACTTTTTTGTTCAGAATCAGTGTCCAGTATACAAGAAACAAATGGGGCAATCTTATCAGGGGTTAAACATTCAGCCATTTTGTCAAGCTCATCAACCCCTATTTGATAAGTATCCCTATCAGCTAGCTTGTTGAGCGCAAGAATCACTTTATGCTTAAGCTCAAACGAGACTTGCTGGACATTTATCCTAGAAGATGCTCTCGTTTTCATCTTAATAAGCTCAACAACCTAAATGCCTTAAACCCTTAACTTTGCAATTCAACTTATTGTAATTGAATGCAAAGATAAATATGAGTTCTTCATAGTCTCATAACCTATAAAATAACACAAATCAGAGCTTATAGGTTAATATTTATCCCTACAAACACACAAACATAATGAAAAACAAAAAACGAAAAATACATAGTAAATTTGGAGCTTCTACCTAATTTTCTCCAGAATGAAACAGACAGTGAGAGTGAATATAATATAAAAGAAATAGAACAACTTACTCTCAGAAATAAACAAAATTAGTACTAATTTTAAGAGCGATTGAATATGCATTGTTAAAATTAAATAGAAACAAGATGAAAAATAAACAACGTAAATGTGGAGTTTCCACCTATTTTTCTCGAGAACCAAACACAGATGAAAAACATTGAACAACGTATACTGAGCAAGTGGACGAAGAAGACTTAGGAATAAACAAAAATAGTACTAATTTTTAAGAGCTATTGAATATGAATTGTTAAAACTAATGAAAAATAAACAAAGAAATTTGGAGTTTGTACCTAATTATCTCGAGAGCCAAACAGAGAAGAAAGAAATTGAACAACTTACAGTGAGCAAGTAGGAATAAACAAAAATGAGTACAAATGTAAAGAGCGATTTTGAAAATCAATAGTTGAAATTAAATTAAATTAATTGAATCAAAGAACGGAGTTCGAGAAAGGCTCACCAGCTTTTACAGTTTAGAATGGAAAGAGAGAGAGGGCTTAAATTTTCGCGCTTAGTGTTTGAGTTTCGAAATTCAGGAGCCTTTGGGTGTGGGTCCGTTTAAGAGATTTGTGCTGTTTGATTGGTGCCACGTGAATCTATCGAACGCATTTTTGTCTGCTTTCAGTTGCTTTAACTTCGAGAAAGAAATCTCATTTAAATTTTGAAATCTGTTTCGGTAGCTTTTTTAAAAGATTTCTCTAATTTAGTTAATTACTCTTATTCAAGAAAATTACGATAATTTCAAAAATTAAAACACATTTATCTAAAAACAATATTTAAAAATAGGTACGAAATATGTTTCCGCAACAAATAAAATTTATTTAAACTACCATTTTTTTTATTCACCTCTAACAACTTATCTTAAATATGTCAAGCTCCATTTGGTACATATATTGAGAAAATTATTCTAATTTTCCTAATAAAGTTAACACAAAATTTGTGTTTGGTTCACCTATTTTTAAAATATAATTCTAAATTATTCAATTTCTTTTAAACCCCTTAAATTTGTTAATTTAACTAAACGACCAAAAAAAAATTTAATTGACAAAAACACCCCAACAACCCAAATTTACCAGATTCTAACCACCATTGTCGAAAGCTGACTGGAATCTGGTGTAATGGCACACTACCAGCTGAATCTGGCCAGTAGTACGTCGATCTAGCCTTTTCCGGCCAGATCCACGGTGGATATGGTCGGAAAAGGTCAGATCTGGTTGTTGACAGTCGTCAACGACGGCCAGATATGGTCATCGTTGACCATCAATGACGGCCATATCTTTGGCTGTCATTGACGACCAAATGCGGCCAGATCTAGTCGTCAATGACCAGATCTAAGATCTGGCCGAAAAAGGTCATATCGGCCCACGATCAGTAAGATCCAACCGGTCATACGTCGATACAGTGACTCCGGCTACCCTCCGGCGATGGTGGTCGACTGTTCGTATTTAATGAGTGGGTTGAGATGTTTTTGTTAACTTTGAATATTTTATTATAGGGGTGTTTAGTAAATAAATATATATAAGGGGTATTTTTGTTAATTTTCAAAATTCTATTTTTGTTAATTTTCAAAATTCTACATCATAATACCCACCCAATTTAACATTTTTCAAAATATTATTCTAAAAACTACCCAATAAGGAACTAAACGAAGCCTTTTATTTTCATTTGCAAGTTTATGATTAAAAATATTGATTTAAAATTAAAATTTTTGTTTTGTTAACCACCACTAGGCAGTCTAATGGTAAAATAGGAAAAAGAAGTTTCATAAGCTCCTGAGTTCGAGTCCCCACAAGCTCTAATACGGGTGGTCATTGAAGGGTTTACCTGGTCGTAGAGCTGACTATAGGCTGTGTCATGCCTAAAAATTCAAGGTCTGTTGTGCCATTGGTCGTGTCGTGTTACAGCCCGTAGAAATTCATGTCGTGACATGCCATGTCGGCCCGCCAAATCTAAAGGCCCACGACACGACCCACTATACAGCGTGTCGTGCCTTGGACTGAGCACGCAAGGCAGCCCGCATGCTTTGTGGACCGGCCTACCAAATTTTTTTTAATTTTTAATATTTATAAATTATGGTAATTTTGATTTATCATTAATAATTATTATAAAAATATTTTATATATTATATTAGAGACATTTGTTTTTATATTAATTAAAAAAAATATAATCACTATGAAATATAATAAAATAATAAGACATTGAAATATTAATTGAATTTCAACACTTTTTATTCTAAGTAAATGATTGATAAAAAAATATCATACATCTTCATTTTCGTTAATTTCTTTGAATATTTGTAAACTATAATCAAAATTGAGATAGTTGCATTGTATTTGTATAATTGTATTTGTAATGAAGATATAATTGTTAATGTTAATTCTTAATCCTAATTTATAATTATAAATAATAAAAAGTGTTAAAATTCAATTAATATTTCAATTCTTATTATTTTATTGTATTTCATAATAATTATATATATTTTTAATTAATACAAATACAAAATGAGAGAGAAAGGAGAATGAAGATTGGAATTGGAGTGTGAAAAAATAAGAATAATACTAGGGTATTTATAGGAAAAAATAAAAAAAAGTGTGAAATAGTCGTTATTAACGGCTTATTTTTTTATTTTTTTAACAGGTTGCGTGCTCTTTTTAAGGCCCACAACACAGCCTGCATGACTGTAGGCCTTGTTGTGGCGTGTTTTTTCTTAAGGTCGTGCCCTAATTTTACTTGGTCGTCAACTTCAAGATCTTTGAAAATTAGTTGAAGTGCGCACAAACTGAACTAGACACCCAATTACCAAAAAAAAAAAATTTATTAAATTTACTCTCACCTTGTTTCTAAATTTTGTGTTTTATGAAAAGAAAAAATGAAATTTATAAACAAACAGTTACTGAAGAATAAAAAAATGAAAACCATTAGTTGGTAAACGAATATGGCCATTGTATTCTGTGTTTTTGTTTTCCGAAAATCGTTAATTTCATTCGTCCCAGCGTGAAAATTATGAAAGTATCAAGTGACACAGTGATTACTAAAAGCACCATTTGTTGTTAAGACATGTTCACTTAAGTCAACTAAAGAATAATAAATGACCTCTTTGACTCTTTAGGAAATTAATTGATTGTTGTTTTCCTAAAATTTTATTAAAGGACACTTGAAAAATTATTTTGTTTTACTACTGCTATTTATTCTTTTGCAGTTTAATATCAATTTCGGTTAAAATGTATTAAGATTGAATCAACGTATTATGTAAATATGAATATGCCCTTTACCAGTTATGTTTAACAAAATTTTTGTTAATGCCTTAGGTATATTTGATAGTTTCCAATAAAATCGTGTACACTTGATTGTTTCATATCTCTCATGTGGCGGATAAAATTATTATGTTAACCATTTTGAAAACAAGAAGTTTGATTTTATGTTTTTAAATATTTATCATTATCATTTTTTATAAATGATATTTGAAAATGAAAAAGCTTTTGTTCATATTTTTTAGGTCCTATCACATTTTCTCAGCCACGGGTAGGGAAACATCGATACCCTTGGCTTTGAAACTTATCAACATCCCACCAAATGTTTTATTTTCGAATAAAGATTAACTCACAACCAAATTTCATAAATTTTTTCTCACAATTCTGACATGACAGTTTGCAACTGAACAAATGAGATTCATTACGAACTGTCACGTTAGGATTGTAAGAGAAAGTTTGTGAGTATAGTATTGCCCCTTATTTTCAAATATCAAAACTAACGGTGGATTGTAAGATTTTTTACACCACATATTAAGCTGAGTGAATTACATTTTAGTCCTTGTGGTTTTGGTTAATTGCGTCAAGGACATATTAATTGTTTACTTTTGAACATCAACATGCACCAAAAACAAGAGTAACATCTTATTCTGATTCCACCCAACACACAACATGGAAACAAAAACTTTCAATTGGTTTAGGGTATTAGGTTTTGCTTGATTTGAAAGGGAAATAATAGGTTTGGTGCACACTGTACGCTTGAATTGGAAGATTTAAGGAAGAAATCCCATCGAATTGTTGGGTTTGCAATGACACAAGATATGTAAATCGATTTGATGCCCAAATTTTTCAAGGTAACCCAGAAAGGCCCAAAGCAATTCCGAGACCATCTCACACTAAAACAAGACACATTAGGCCTCATAACAAGGAGATAGGCGGACTCAAGCTATTTCATGTGGTATTTTGGAGAGTCATGGTGTCGAGGTATTTCTTTGAATTAGGTGGATTCTAATTGGATACCTTAGTCTTAATAAGAAATGAAAATAATTTAAAAGCCCAACTCTAAACTATACTATTTTCGAAATGATTTTCCACAAATTAAAAAAAAAAAAAAATCTTCCAAAATGAAATTGTGTGTAATTACATAATAATTTCCCATGCATTTAGACATCAAATTACATATTTCCCGGGTTTTGTTCACTAAAAAACACTAAATTACGAAAGCACTCCTATTTTTGGAAAGTCATTTTACTGATTTTATATTTTCTAAAATTTTAGAAAAATAGGAAAAGCTGTAGTTTTAAATTTCATAATTGTTTGAGTTGTATTTTATATTATAAAAATATTTCTTCATTAATAACTTATTATTTCAACCTTCCAAGTCTTATTTTATTTTAATTCTTTCCAAAGGACATCTTTAATATTTCTTAAAATACTTTTTCTACTGTTCTAGAGTTATAAATTCTTTTTTAATTACTTTCTTTTCTTAAAATCACTAAAACATCCTTATAAAGCCTTTACTTGTTGCAAAAATTGTATTTTAAATTAATTTTTTCCATCTAAAATTTTGTATTAAAACCGAACAATAATGTCTATAGCATTTATATTGATTTATTAATTTATTTCAATGTAAATCTCGTTTTTTATTTAATCTTATTTTATAAAACATGTTTTGTCTCATAAAAAATAAAAAAAAAAACCCTTTGTTTATCTTATTATCCATTTTTTGTTATTTTATATTTTATTAAGATGAGATAATTATTTAATATTTTTTCTAGTAATTATCTCCTAATAATTATTTTGGAACCATTTTTCCTAATGAACCTAGATTTTTCCAAAGTTACATTCAATCTCTTATTCTTCTTTATCAAAATGGCTTTATTTATTTATTATTATTAGTATTAGGATCGCAGTTGCACTAATCCAAAAGCATGCATATTATCGTAGTTTATTAATTTCTTCATAAGTTTTACCCTCACTAACTCCGTAGTACAAAAAAAGAACTCGTTTTGTGAGAAGAGGGATGCAAGAAAGAAACACACAAAGAAACCTACGCCACAGCCATTTACACAATACCACTCGGTTTGGCGTTAATTCTCCTCTCGTCTTCCATAGTCCCTAGAACCTTAATCTCCTTCTCTATTCTCCAACGACCAC